TCATTCTCGCTCATTTTTGTCAGACATGACTGTGTTGGTTTTCTGTCCAGTTGCTTTAAGTTTTTTTTCCCCTTGCAATTTCAAAGAGGGCTTTTTGTTCTCATGCTCCGGTAATGGCTTACGGAAAGGAAATGTGAGCTTGAACTGAATGTTTTCATGTAAAGGGATGTCATACAGACGCCAAGAGGGCTTTTTGAATGCGGGGTGGGCACTTTTAGCAGATTTAGTTTTATATTATACAGAAACTGTATACTATTAAATAATTTGAATCCAAGAGACAAATATCCGTAAGTAACGTGTTGAATAATCTCCTCTTCCCCAAAAGTTCAGTATGCACTTGTAAGACTCGGAAAAGTGGATCTTCCCAACTTGCTTCTTCCGTTACATGCAATGGATAAAATTATGTGCAATTTTCTACATTCTTGCCATTAGGCTCTCCAATTAAAAAACAACAAGCTTATGAGTCTCTAATAATAATAATTGAACAAATGTATGTTTCTCCAATTAAACCATGCACTTTTCATATTGTTATAGGAAAAATGAAATTGTTATGCTTCATTTGATGATAGGTATATATAACTACATATGTATTTGGACCATTTGTAATCTAGGGCTTATCCATTGGAAATCAGAACATTTCAATTTTAAAATTATTGTTGCTCTCATGTTGTTCCCTCTGTTCAAGTCTTTATAGTATTGGAAATCCCATGTTACTTTTTCTTTAGTGCCTGCTGCCTTCTTTTACTTACAAAGTCTCTAATTTGGACAGGGAAGACCATGTTGAGTTTGCTGCTCTAGAGCATCTTGAGAACCCAGACTTCCATGTTGACTCTGTTCGGGTAATGAAGATGTACAGCAGAATAAAGGAAGTAGTGGCCTCGTTGGATTGCCCGAGGAACTTTACCCTCAAAGATCTTTTAACACCCGAGGCTGATAGAACAGAGTTTTTCCTGGGCGCACTTCTAAATTTCTGTCTGCATAGGTGAATGTTTTTTTTGCCTTGGCTCCATGTACTTGTGGGAAATTAGGTAAACATAGAAAGTAGAAGCCTTAAAATGTAGAGGGGAAGAAAATACATTCCTTAGTGAGCTAATGAAGTTGGGTTCTTGGTTTAGAATGGAGATTTTCTGTGTGTGTTAACTACTTGGGGAAAAACCTTTGGTGATGGGTTGAAACTCTCAAGAGGTCAGTTGCGTCATGGAGGCACTGTCGAGGACTTCAAAGTAGCTGGCACACAGCGTTTTCTGTTATTGCTTTTCAATTATCTTATGGCACCTTTTTTTTTTTTTTGTAATCTTAGAGAAACGAGATTGAATTCGATTACAGACATAGTGGATGAAGTCAACCTTCTTGAGGAACAGCAGAGAGATCAGGAAACAAAGATCTTGCAGGTTTATAGTTGATACCAAATTGTTTTTATTTTACCTATTTTCAGGGCATCAGATTTCATTGAATGCTTTCAGTTTTCCATTACAGTTGAAGTCAGAATTGATGGCTACAATGAAGCCAGGGAAAGGGAGGCAACTCTTGTTCAAGAGGTGGATGCAAAAGTAAAGAACTGCGTCAAACCATTGCTGCCCTTAACACCAACCAGATGTCACTTAGAGCTACTTTTCGGAAGTTGAAGGAGAAGACAGGGGAAATGGATGGGAAGGTGAATCTTGGCTAGAACTTAGTAGATGAATGATAAAGCCCAAGTATTTTTTTTCCAGCACCTCCATCTGAAACTTTTTATTTCCACCATTGAGTTGAGTCTCTCAGGCAAACTTTGTACTTTCATTTCTACAACGAAATCCTCTTATCGGAAATTATTTCACCAGAACTCTTTGACTCAGTTTGTCATAAATCTCCCACGTAGTCATCTATTCTTTCAGTTAAACTACATCTCAATACTTATTTGCCAAAACACCTCACTCGTTAAGATACCCTTCAACCCATTTGCACTGTAGATATGTTACACATGAAAAATACAGACCACCAAATTTCCGCAAGTATGTATTTCAAGATGTCATTTAATTTTCCACCATGTTAATATCAACAGTGGGCCTTTTGACTGATAGTAGATGCAGATCTCTTACTGCTCTGACTGATAATGGAATTTTATCAGAGCGAGTTATTAAATATGTGGCAAGACTGATTATATTTTTGTGTCTTAATTTGGTTATTTTGTAGAGCATTTGGAAATAGGAGAGCCAAATTTATGACAGATCTCACTGTACTTACAATATCCATTTTCTGCTTGTAAGAATCAGCAATTCCATTGTATTTCTCTGGATAAGTTATCATTCATTCGTGTGAAGATGACTCTATTTCCAGATAGTTCCAGCAGATGGGTTTTCATTGCATGCCTCATTGTAGCTTGCTACTTTACTTGCTTCTAGCTTTGTTTCAATTTAATTATTGAGATTTACTTAGTCTTTGTTGTTAGTTCCCATTCTCTCTTCCCTCCAGTCAGAACACTGCGTTTTTTTTTTTTGGGGGGGGGGGGGTTGGCTTTTTTTCCTCAGTCATATTAGTCCTCAATTATCCATTTCCCTTTTCTGACCGCAGATCTCTTCTGCTGAGTTTACCCTTGTACAAAGTGTTCAAGAAAATGCAAACCTACGATCAAAAGTTGTTCAGTCCCCTGATAAATTGCAGGTACTATTTTTAGTCGTTTCTTAGTTTTCAATGGGCATCAGTTAAAAATGTTTGTCCATCAAGTTTATTGGTGTTAATAACTCTGGTACTTCTGCAGGCATGATTGAACCAATTAGTTTTATGTGTCTCATTTAGCAATTAGTAGGTTATATAGTTTTACTTTTCCTGCCGTGATTTGCTTTTCTGAAGTTTTCTTTATTGCAGTTATTGGATTATTTTCATTCTTGTTGGTACCATTCACCACAGTAAGATCTAATTCTTTTTCTAATTTTGATGAAGTAGCTGGTTTTGGTAGTGTTTCCCTTTTCCTTTAATGCTTACTTTAAATTTACATAATCAAGATTTTTTTTTTTTTTTTGTTGTGTTGAAGCTACAATTGTTATAAGCGCTTAATTAGTTGTTGTCAATTGTTGAAGTATGGAAAGAAAGAATTTGCACTTGGCTGGTGCTAGCTGTATTACAGTAAGCTGCACCTTTGAACTAAGTCATGTATAGGGTTATGATATTTGCGCAAGCCACTTCTCACCTATCCCTCTGAAACAGGTTGTTCCCACCCTAACATATTGCAACAAGGTAGACAAGTTTTAGATGTGGTTTGCTCCCCACAAGAGGGGATTTAATACACACAACCACAGTTGTCAGATTGTGACATGTATCATGACTTGGAAAACATTTTTTACTCCTGAATTGTATAATTTATTGTAAGATGTGTCTGATTGTAACATTCAGTAACAAGTTAAAAACACCTTAAAACATAGAATATGACATTTTAAATGTGATTTGCGGCAATTAATCATATATTAAATGTGATCTCCAGAACTTTTGGGGACAACTCGGATGGCATAATCAATCTTCTTTCCAATATTGGTTTTCATCAAGCTTATAAGCTAAGACATCACTCGCTTGTTCTTGGCTTTCCAAACATTACATTGAGTCATTTCTGGGCAGCTTCTCTGTTTAGGCAGTCATCCTTCTCTTTCTTGCAGATGAATATGACAGCGATTGAGTCTATTCAAAGTAACTAAATTTGTTGGTTTGTCAATAGTGATATTCGTTGGTATGTTATTGGCAATCCCTTCATTGGCTGTTGACCATATTTTGGCATAAAAAGGGATCAGGCCTATGAGGCTGTGATATCATTCGAGGGTTCAGTAATTAATGCTCTGATTCTCTCATGATTCCAGTCTGAACAAGGGGTTTTATTTAGGCCCTCTAGGATGAGGAAAAATATTGATAAATTAAGCTTAAGGAAAAACTTAATCAAGGTATGTTTACAAGGACATAAAGAACGAAATAAAATGTTGACCTGACTAAAGATAGATGCCTGTTGAAGTCTTTTGGGTTGTTTTGATACCTAATACTTGTTTTCCAACTTTGACTCGTAAATTCTCTTGCACAATTTCGCTCAGAGAGCATTGGAGGAACAAAAACTAGCTCGAGAAGAAGCTAAGAATGCGGAAAGATCAGCCATGCAAACTTTCCATGAGAAGAATGCCCTTGTTGACCTTTATTCAAAGGTATTTTATTCATTTCCATGGTAATTATTCAACTTCATATGCATGTTCTTTTTTTTTTCCCTTCTGTCGATTATATTATGAGGTCTATATTTTATCTAAGTGAAAAAAAGTATTTTCCTTAATTCTTGAACGTTAATCTTGGATAAAGAGTTCAAAGTTGAACTTATAGACCTTGTTCATTTCTTTATTTGTTTTCAATTGGTTTAATAATTTCAGTTTCATATCCCTATGAGAGGTTTAGGCTTTTTTTAAATCTTATAATGCAAACTGCTGATAAATATAAGAATGCATACAGGCCATGCCAGATCTGATATATTTCTTACTATTGTTTTTCTCAGGTTGAGAAGAAAATGTCAAAGCACTTTGCTCAGATGCAAGCCATACAAGATCAGGTGTTGCCTCTAACATTTTGATTTGTTTAGTTGCTGTGAATTCTGCATGAATATGGGAGACTGAAACCTTTTATTTTTGTTAGTTTTGATTTGAATTAAGTTCATACAAGAGCGGCTCTACTCAAGATATGAGATATATTGTGGATGTAATATTTCCTGTCCTTTTAACTCAACTCCAAACACCTTGTTTGATGACATGAGCACCTCTCAGGTAAATTCTGCAAAAGAAATTGAGAAAAGTCTAAAAGCTTTGAAAGCAAAACTCAGTGATGAAGAAGTGCTGGAAAAGTCACTTGATGTCAAACTGGTTGAAAGAAAAGGAAAGCGTAAGTTCTTGTTCAAGCTATGCTGTATCTATGTTTTCAGTCATATTTGAGCAAAGATGTTTGTTGTGTTATGCTTTTAATTTTTCCCCTTTTCTGTTCCCTTTGTTGTCTTTTTCTTAGTTGAGCAGCTGGGAGAATTGATGAAACAGTTAGAGAAAGAAAGGGATATGAAGTCTGAGGAAGCATCTACATACCTAAATGGTGTGAAAATGGAGGCTGAATCAAAGAGGCATGATCTGGAAGAAAGACAGAAGAATGTCGAAGCTGTGTTAGCGGAGGTATCGTGACTACTATCTTTTAAAATTCTTTGTAAGTCAGGTTAGTTCGATGAAATCATGAGTTAATATGTTGCCTGTCTGCTATTAATAGGTGGATGCCACAAATATTACAATCAAATCAGTCAAAGAATCTGGATCAGCTAAACTGGAAATGTTAGCTAGCACACATGAAGAGTTAACCAAAGAGGTACATAGCCACTGTCATTATCTTCAAAAACCTGTGAGGACTGATCACCTGGTTGACGTAAGTAGCTTATAAAGGAATACATGATTCCCTTCACAAATGAAATTGGAATTTGAAATGATAGAGTCCCGTGGGTCCCGCAAACATCCCACAATCCCCAAAATCGTTAATCACGTACAATGGAAGGAGAGGGCTGAAAGGAAAAGTGGGGAGTTGGCAGAAGCAGTTGGTGAGAGAGTGGGAGAATAGGGTGGTTATCTCTGCGCCATTATCAATACCGTTAATTACGTCGCCATGTTCATTGTGCTTTTTCTATTGATATTTTAGAAGTTGTTCATTGCACTACTAACCCGTAATCGGGCAAATTGCTGTCGCAGTTTCAACAGTATAAGGACTTGCTTGCCCATGTGATCGAATCGGGTTCAAAAGCTGATTGAAGCAGCAGGTAGTTTACATTTTTACATATCTCCCTTTCTATATAGGTGGTAGTTGTCCTAATGCCTTCAGCGCGTAAACTTCCCTACTGGGATTTTATCCTGGTTTTGGGTTGCACATTGATGTGTTCAATGCCTTGGTCACCTGCTTGAACTACCTGTATTCTCTGTTGTGGTGCACTGATGCCATCTAGTCACATTTTGTCTTAGGTGATTATGCCTATGAATGTACGAGAGATTCCGTTTTTCGTCTAAACGCCAATATTATGGCATCGTTGACTAAAAATAATTGTCCTCTCCGTATCATGACATGACCACATTGGTGGGCATACTCTTTGCCAGTGAGGGTTGTTTCGTTGTTTACTGAACTTGGGACATCTATTTAAATTAGATGAAGCTCAATAAATAGTATTCTGAAAGGCAAAATTTAATTGTGTTCAACGTTCATGCTTAGTTTACCAGTTATAGAATCTGAAATAGCTGATACTTGACGAAGCAATGGCCTTCATGATGTAGCTGCTGTTGTGTTTCTTTGTTGCTGTTTTGTTTTTACTTACTGTTGGTGTTGCTTCCTTCATATTTACAAATCACAAGTAAAGAAGAACTAGAAACAAAAAAAACACGCCATCTCTATCCCCGTTAATTGGAGGGTGGAAATTCAAGCAAAATTATGCTGCTTTTCTAAAAGGGCCGGAGAACTAGGATCGGACTTCCATGAAGTTGTCAAAATGTTTTTACCGTCAAATATTTGATCCCTCGACTCCAAACTGACCTCTTTTTATGACAGATCAGGTTTTGATGTGTGGTCCCACAAGACGAGCTTTTTAATATGGCTCCAGGGCGTTTCTTCCTTTGAGGTGCTGCCTGCTGCAGATCTTCAACTTCAAGGGCCAAAGCCTACGACTTCGATGCATTTTCTCGTTGTATTATTATTATTATCATTATTTCTATCATCATCATCATCATCATTGATCAGCTCGCATTTGGACCTTAAATATGCTTGCTTGTAAATTTTAACGGATTCAAATTTTAAGTTGTGTGTGTGTGTATATAACAATTTTCACATCGTATTGCTTGTTCTTCTAAATAAATGATTTTCCTTCATTATGAAGAACTTGGACGAACTTGGAGAACACATTTCACAATAATTATTCTTCTTTACCTTTCAAAGTCAATTTTTTCCCCCTAAAGATAAAAGGTTAATAATACAGCGTTTTCTAAAAAGTAAAAAGACAATTTTCAATAAAGAAGGTTAAAAATACAAACCTCTATTTCTTAGGGCCAAGCATCATTAAAAATGGAAGGCAACAATCTATTATTGGTGTAATTGAAAAGTCACTCATTTTTCTTAGCGTTTATCCTTGGAAAGAGCTAATCACTCATTTTGACAATCCATGCTTCTGGTGACGTCATCTTATCAATCCCCGACTCTGTTCTTTTTTGTCTTGATAGAACAAGATGATAGGGCTTCCTCGTATAGGTGATATGAAAGTCTGCAAATTACAGGCCCCAGAATGGAAAGAAACAGACGACATAGTCGTTCACGATTGCAGAAACAGGGGATGCATATGCAAGCCACTACATGATAACAATTCTGATAAACATGCAAAAGAGAAACAAGACCAAACCAGCATCATCTGATAGAAGTCAACATAGCAGCAGCAGTATAGTAGCCAAAAATGAAACAACGGTTAATAAATAGATTCCAAGTGAGGTACACAATCGCAGACGTTCAAACCTGACTTCATTCTCCCTCCCATGTCATTTTCCATCAGAGAAATAACATTGTCTTCATCATAATCCCCGGATTTGTTTCACAGCCTTCTTTATAAATCGTGCAAAGAAAGGCATACATGCTGCAACTTTTATTCACAGCAAAAATGAAACGCCGACATTCTGGAAATCAACAAAACAATAATCAAGAGTCTTAAATTTCCCATGAGTTCTACCACGAGAATTCAGCTCCGCTCTGTTTCAAGACAAATGGGCGAGCAGGTCCAATCCTCAAGCCCTAAGCCGAAGCAACAAGAATTCCCCTCCCCTTTCCCATTCCGTCAATTCAATCTATTCGACGATTATGATCATAAGAACAAGAGATCCCCGCCATCATCGTTCCAAGAAGCCATCGTTCGCATCCAGACACCACCGACAGCAACAACAACAACAATCGGGTGCAGGAACTTTCAGAGAAAGCGAATCATCACGCATGCACAACCAAATTATATTACTCAAGATGAGGAAATCGAAAGTTAAACTAGAGAATGGGCAGGGGCCGCGCGAACGCAGGCCCCCACTGCCACAAATTATGACGTAGGCTCTCCCCCTTGGGGAGACCTTAGGGTGATACCCCTCCCAAGTGCAATGGAGGCCATCAACCTAGGCCATGGGCCTTCTTGATCACCCATCGACCCCGTCCAGGTAAGTATGTTGCAATCGTCGCCTTCCCTTCTATTTTATAGCCTCGGGCTCTCCTCCCCTCCTCGTTAGCTCTTCGATGTGGGACTTCTACCATAATACTAGTTTGAATAAAAATGAAACTATAGTTTTAAAAGTAATTTTTATGATATAAAAAGTACTTTTTGAGTCATCCAAACACTTTTTAAGATGAAATACGTTGTTGATCCTTTATTAGTTTTTCTAATTGAGGATAGTTATTCATCATCTTGATCATCAAAGCCCAATTCCAAAAGATTAGCTTGAGTACTCCCCTCTAGAGTTGACTCCATTTTATGCACTTCACTCGATCTTTTTATCTATTAGAATCTTCCGTAGGTAGCCTTTTCCAGTTGATCAACTTTCAATGAAAGCACCAATGTAATAAGCACAAGTCCAAGAAGAAAACCCAATCTTAAAAAACTAGCTTGTTATGAGGGAGAACTCCTTGAACTTATAAACCTCACAATACTTGTGAGATTCCTCAATGTGAGACTTATAACATCATGCTTTCACCTCTTGTCTTTTATCTTTGCCTGCTCCGTAGTTGCTTCTTTTCGTCATTTTCAATCAACACCCATCAGGATGAAAAGACTTGGGAACACAGGTCCAGAAGGATGTGTGGATTCATGGGGAGGGTGAATTCCGGTTGATGACAAGTTATGTATATTCTTCAGTTGTTACTTTGCTCATGACTGGGTTCCTGAATGGGATTAAGTAACCTTAGTTTCTTGTTAGTTTCTAGACTAATAAAACATCTAATGGTGATAACTTCAAGATTACTCAAGGGAAGGAAGTAGCATATATGATAAATGGCAACGTATTTTTTTCTGGAATATGAATAAGCTCGAAATCTATAAACCAACAATTAATGCTTCTAGTTGCAGCTGCTAAAATATGGATTTGTGTTAAGCTTTGTTGGGTACAAAGCAACCAAAGTAAAGGGAGCCAATATATGTCAATTGCACATATCATTCTCATTTTTCTTTTATATGTATATATTTAAATGATTTCAATCACAACATATCATAAGAACAAATGTTTCTCTTTCAATTACTGATCTCTCCATATCTGGTAGTAGTTTTGTATAAAAATCATTATACAGATTATATCTTTTCTTGATATGGTATATAAGAAATATTTTTTATGATTATATTAATATTTTAAAAATTAAAAAAATTGAAGAAAAATGACAGTTTGGTTCTAAAATACCAGTTTCATTTTTAGTAGTTTCCGATGCAATCTATAGTTGCAAATCAAATTGCAAAGGAATTGTTGCAAAATATTACTTTCGATCCTTAATATAACAGCTCGTTTGACTTTTATTTTGGTTCTAAATGTAAAACTCCAATCCACTTTGTTTCTCATGTTTATTCATTTTTTCCCAAGGTAATCTTTGTGATAATGGTATTCTAGTCAATATACTTGATTAGCAAAACAATATTTATTTATTAAATAACTAACTTAATTGATTTCATTAATCCACTCAAATTAACCAACTAACTTTTATATTAAGATAGTATGCTCTACAGAAAATTGTACGTAAGGGGCTGTATTAGCTTAGAAGAGGATTTTTTCGCTTGTTATTCACTACTAGAAAAAAGACTTTTAATGTCGCAAAATAACGGCGGTTAAGCAGAAAAACGACGTGGAAAAAAAGGCAGTGGCATTTTTGTAAATAAAATGAAGAGGGGCTGAACTTTTCACGGCGATTTTCTTAAAAACCGCCGTGGAAAGTGTGTTCTTCTAACCCCGCGGCGCTCGAGTTGCTTCACTTTCTTTCTCATTTCTTCAGTGCACCGTGGTCCCCCTCTGCCCCACCACCGAAAAACTGCCATTACTAGCCATTCCCGCCATTATCCCACCGTTTAAACTCCTCCATTGAGCTTGTGGTGCCTTGCCGCCGTCCGCCGCCGTTCGAACGCCTCTCATTTCGCCTCATTCTTGCTCAGTCGCGGTCCCCTTCGTCCCACCACCAAAAACCGGTCATACCCCACACTATCCCACCGTTGAAACTCCTGCATTGAGCTTGTGGTGCGTCCGCCGCCGTCGCTGCCGTTCGAAGCCCTCACTTCGCGTTTGAGTCTTCTCTGCTCTCTGTGAGTATCCTTTCTTTCATTCTTTTCAATTTTTCTTGTTTTATTGAATATTTTGGCCATGAAAATCTGTTATATATGAAATGGGTTTGTTAGTTTTACATTATGATTGGCTTGTATTGTTCATTTTGCATTTTTTATGTGGTTGAACTGTGGATTGGTGTTGATTGGTGGGTATTGGATGTGAGAAAACCTTAATTCCTTCTTATATACTGTATTAGAAACATGTTTAAATGTTTGGAGTTGATAGTTGTGAAGTTTTTAAATTTTTTATAATTTTTTGATATTTATTTCGAATTTTTGGTAATTTTTTGTAATAAATATAAGAATTTAGTAATAAATAATCTGTTTGTTATTTTGTGTTTTTTTTCTTCGTTATGAATTTTGATTGATAGTAAAGTGTTTAAATAATCTGTAGAACAATGGATCGTAGTTGGATGAAAGCTAAGAGAATTAGCAAGGAATATGAGGATGGGGTTGAAAAGTTTCTTGAGTTTGCTCAGAGAAATGCCCCTAGTAAAAGAGATGGATTGTACTATTGTCCTTGTGTCAAATGTTTAAACAATAGTCGACGGAGTATTTCTGAGATAAAAGAGCATCTTATCTGTGATGGGATAAATTTGAGGTATACAAATTGGATATGGCATGGAGAAATTAGAAAGACTACACTGTCTGCAAATGAGAAGGTTGTGAATGAAGACTTTGGTGATAGAATTTCGGATATGTTTCGTGATATAAGGTCTGAATCCTCTACACAGTTTTCTTCCACCTTTGAAACTTTGTGTAGTGATGCAGAGACACCTTTATACCCGGGGTGCAAAGATGATTACACAAGATTGACAACCGTATTGAAACTGATGAATTTGAAGGCAAGAAATGGTTGGACCGATGCTAGTTTTACGGAATTGCTTGAATTGCTGAGTGATATTCTTCCCAAAGGGAATTCACTTCCGAAACGAATGTATGAGGCAAAAAAGATTTTGTGTCCGATGGGTTTGGAATATGAGAAGATACATGCGTGTCCTAATGACTGCATATTATTCAGAAATGATTATGAAGGGTTGAATAAGTGCCCTAAATGTGGGACTTCAAGATACAAAATGAAGAAAGATGATGGTGATTATAATGAGATGACCAAAGGTTCTCCTTCAAAGGTTCTGTGGTATCTTCCAATAATACCACGATTTAAGCGTCTATTTGCTAATGCCACAGATGCAAAGAACTTGAGATGGCATTTCGATGAGAAAATATGTGATGGAAAGCTTCGTCACCCAGCAGATTCTCCTCAATGGAAAACAATAGATCAAAAATTTCCTCAATTTGGTGGCGAGCCAAGAAACCTTCGGCTAGGGCTTTGTACGGATGGAATTAACCCATATGGTAATCTTAGTAGCACACACAGTGCTTGGCCAGTGCTCCTCGTAATTTACAACTTGCCTCCTTGGTTATGTATGAAAAGAAAGTATATCATGCTATCTTTGATGATCTCGGGGCCAAAACAACCGGGAAA